AACACAAGTAGCAGTATTTAGTATTTGTGACACAAATAGTTGAAGTACGTAAAAAAACCAAAATTATCTTTTGTATCTTTGCTATCAATGGACCCTCTTCGAAATACAGCTATGATAATCAGTATCAGAACAATTTTATAGAAGCAACAGTTTTACAGATAACTTACAGAAAGGGCTTTCAAAGACCAGAGACTTGTTTTAATCTCCTCTCTGGAAGCAGCATGTTATGCTAATACCTAATTTTATCTTTAGGTATGAATTCCCTTTAAAGTATTTTTTCATTATATTCAGAAGTTATTTTATGGAGAAAAATTATGTAATTCCTTGATTAAAATGTTTAGATGTCATCTGTAGAAAATATTTCAGGCTGGGAAAGTATTAATTTTAAATATACAAGTAAGTACAGGCTGAAGTACTTATGTACACCACAAACTGCTGCTGCTGCTCTGAAGAAAGAACAGTTTTAAATCACTAGAATTAGGATGATCTCTCATCTCTCTGTCATTCACAAAGCAATATGAAGAATACAGTTTAAAAAACCCAAATCATTCCTTGTTGGGCAAGATGAGGCGGCCATTCCAAAATGACCAAAACCAGAAAAGGACAGAAATAGAGCTTTAAAAATACCAGGCTTAAATGCACTTCTGGAAAAGCATCAGTGTGACTTGAAAATATAAATGGTCACATATAGTGTAGGTGTTCAGACATAATGTAAATACAGAGAATGTATATTATCAAGGTACTCTGTATTAGAATATTTAAGCTAATATCTTACCTTAGTGTTTGTAAAAATTTTCCCAAATGTCCTACAAAGTCTCCAGAAAAATCTAGAGAACTCATGGACACAGGCAGTTGATGCTACATTGATCTTGCCAACTATTTCTATAAGCTGTGGTAGCCTAAAAATCAGGAAACAAAATGATATTAAACACTACTCTGATCTTTTGTTTCTCTCCAATTACATTTGTATAGATTTCCTGTTTATATAAATAAATACATGCACACACAGAGCACTACTGGTTCTAATAAAATTAACTACTTGACCCATACAATTCCTGACCCATGAAGAAAGCAAGGGTTCAGGTGCCAGAAGTCTGATCTACATTTTCAAACATATGTTACTATCTATCATGAGACAGTCAGAATACAACAGTCTTCAGTTCAACAGAGAACTGACAATATCAGAAAAAAAATAAGAAAAAACTCAACCTTATCAGAGCAAGTCTGATAAGCAACACATTCTGTTAAATTGTTGATATTTTTTGAATAAAATCCAAGTCAGTTCAACATGAAAACTAAAATGCCTAAAATAAATCCAATGTTTTCCTCTTCAATAATTCTCAAAGACAATCATACTTAGTATTGTCTTATTTGGTAATTGTTAAACATGACCATGCTTAAGAACTATTAATTTTGACACATTTTAAAATTAGGAATCCTAAGATACAAATTAACTCACAGTTGATTGACTACCCATAGCAGAGACTCCCAGCCTGTGGTACCCTCATGTTCCAGCTGATAGTCATAGAGTTGCAACAACACTGCTAACTGTTCGCGGCTTCCGATGATGATGGCCACATCCTGAAGGGGCGATACGGGTCGGGGGAATCTAGTGACTGTAATAGCAGAGAACAAGCAGTCATGAACAAAAGAAGATGATAACACCATGGAGTGATGTTTGAAATGAGAGCCAAGAAAGTAGGAAAATCCTTAGGTCCCTTCTGCATAAGGTTATCAGTTTGCTTTTAAAAAATTCAGTGAGTTAAAATCATCTCTGAAGAGATTATATAACTCTCATTTAAGAAGAGAAAATGCTGATATAGGGAGATTATGCAATTATCATTGCCAGCATGGCTTCACCAAGGTCAAATCTCTCCTGACTAACCTAGTGGCCCTTATTATCAGAAGAGAATAATTTACACTTAAAAAGCAAGACCACAAAAAAATTCTAGACCATTAAAATACATGGGGACTGAAAGCCTGCTACACCAACACATTTATTTTTTTTTTTAATTCATGCTTAAAATTATGCAGCAATGAATTTAACCAACAAGAACATCATCTTTCCAACTGCAAAACTCAAGAAAGCCAGCCAATCTGTAATGCTTCCAGATTAATGAAAAGTATGTGATATTTTTTCCATCACATTTGTGGAGGGAAAAATGTCAGACTAGGCTGAAATTGGAAATTTTTGAAATCTAAAAAGTTGTTACCCTTTCTCTGCATCTTCACACACCACACTATTATCAGCATCTGGGAGGTACTACCAGTAAAACCTTTAAAAAGTATTTGCAACAGAAGAAAACATTTTACAGGTTAAGATTGTTCATCCAGATTCAACTTTACTGTGAGGCCATTGAGTAATAAAATGGTTTGGTTTGGAAGGGACCCTAAATATGATCTAGTTCCAACCCCTCTACCATGGGCAGGGACATCTTCCCCTAGACAAGGATGCTCAAAGCTCCACCAACCTGGCCTTGAGCACTGACAGGCATGGTGCAGTCTTCTAAGATACTCCACACACACATAATAGATGGTGACACTCCTGCACTACACTGTATTTTTCGCACTTTATAAATTTGTAAGAATTAACTGAAACCGAGGCTAGCCTTCCTGAGCTATTACTGGTTACTAATGTAAATCAATTATTGAAAAACCTTCAGGAAGTACAGTTAAAAATTGCTTTGCTTTCTCCAAGTTTCTTACAAGACGTAGAGAAGAATACAGAGATGAAATAAAATTTTTTTTGGTGATAATCAGGTCTCAAGCATAGTGAGGGGTGGAAAAAGGAAGAATTACTTAAGGATTTGCTAAGGGAGACCAATATGAAAGAAATCCATATCAGAAAGTAATCATTTACCTTCTATTTGTGGTACTTCTCCCTGAAGTTTAGCCTTGCTTGTGAAAGGTGCATTCTGTAGCACCAGTGCAAACAGCGAAGGAATCAGTGACTGCAGAGCAGACAGATACATGTGGAGCTTATGTTCATCCAAGCCATGTTCTCCTTCCTGAAACAAACAGGACAGTTACTCAGTTTTCAATTTGGATGATGAATTCACTGGCAAGAGATGAACACATCTGCAATGAGCTTCTACGCAGAGACACTAATTATATAGCAATTTAGCCTAACCACAAACTTAACTTTGCCTCATCATCCAAATCCCCTTGTCACCCTTAAGTCACCTCTACTCAAAAGATTCAGGCAATACCTTTAGCAGTTCATGCTGATGAAAAGAGTGATATTTTGAAAGAACATTTTTTAGCACATTTTGGAAATGCGGAACCTTTGTCTCAGAGGCCAAGGCACCTAAACTGACTAAACTAGTTGCCTGCACTCTGAAAGCAAGCAACTTGTTTCAGTCTGTTAGACAGTTATGAGGTACCCAATTTTTCTAGAACTTTTGAGATATCTACCAAATCAAGTGTGCAAACTGGATCATAACTGCAAATGATCTAAGTAAACAATTTAATTCTACTTTGCTTATGTAATAAAAACTGCACTTTATTAAAAGCTACAAAATTTAAATATTAGGCAAACGCTTTTAGGCTATAAAGCAGAACAGTATTAAAGAACAATACGTTTAGTTTTGGAGGGGTTGGTGTTTTTTCCTTTT